GATTCCATGAAAATAGTATCTTAGATGAAATAATGTTACAAGGAAGTCACTTAAGCATGACAGTATCATAAATGTTATTTTTAACAAAGCAAGTTCACATTCCAGATTTACAACCTTTCTACAGGTCCCCTTCATTTAGGGGATAAGGCCTTAAAGGTCCAGAAAAAGGTTGTGATTTTCTCTAGATTGCAAAAAGAGGAAGTAAAGGTGCTGAGATTTGAACCTAGGTTGTCTGACACTTGTGCTTAGTTGACTATGTGCTGTTGCCAGTAGCCAATCAACAATGGTCATCGAGTACAATTTAGGAGTCCTTCTCTTTCCCTTCCCCCCCCCGCCACCCGCCCCGTTGGTGTTATAGCAACCCTGCATATAGGTGGTGATACCAGTGTGGGTCCTCTTCATCCCAACATGCATTAATATGTGGCATCAGGACCAGAATGCCAGCATTACAGAATAATTATCCTTCAGAGTATAAGTAAACTCCTTTCTCCATAATCTATACCAAAAGTTCTAATTTTGTTTTGTGACATGATTAACTTTGGTGACCTGGTGGTGCCTTTCATAAATCTCTTGTCAGAATAATGTACTGTTGTTGTTTTAAAAATTAAAAATGCAAGGAAATGTGTTAAATTCAAGTTAGAGAGTCATGAAAATACAAATTTTTCCCTATCCACATTCATGGATCTTTTGAAACCTATCCATAAAGGGCCCCATGGATGCAGGTTTGGACCCTCATTTGTACTATATTCCATTAGCATAGCAGGAATATATAAATAGGGTATCAATGGGATATATTGTAACACACCAAAAGAAATCAGAAAGAGATTAATCATATTTCACTTGTTCAGCAAATTTCTAATGCACTAAATCATCTTGACCATGAAAGCCAAATTAAATGGCTTTTTATTTTGCCTTTTAATTAGTTATCTTTTGAAAGTTATATAAAAAGAGAATGTAAGGCATTTACTCTGGAGCTAAAAATAGCATTAATGACTGGCAACCTGCACAGGAAGCCAGAGTTTACATCTTTGTATTAGATGTAAAAGGCTGAATGTCTTCAGGGCAACTGAGCAATCTCTCCTTCTGTTCCATAGCTCTGTTCCCAGTTGAGTCTGTGATTTTTTTTTTTTTTTTCTGTCAGATCAACAGTCCTTGGAAAATGGAAATGATAATTTTAGAATCATATGTAAGTCCTTTAGGAAAAAAAAACACACAGGTCCTGGCAATTAAACATTTCAATGCATAGCATGTAAAGTGCACTCTCTATCATTTGGTGATTAGAGTATCACAGTTACCAGAGCTGAATGAGACATGGGAGGACATCTAGGCCTATACCTTCATTTTAACACTGAGAAAACAGAATATTAAATAGAGTTTAAGTTACTTGACCATAGTTGTACAGATAGTAAGTGGCAGAGTCAGGATTACAAACCAGATCTTCTAACTCCAAACCTCGCATATTCTCCATTGTTGTTCCTTCTTAATAGGTAAATATCAAGTGAACGATATAGTCACAATAACTTACTCTGTTTTTGGCACTAGAAAATTGTTACAGAATATACTTGGTTGTTGTTACACATTGTGTTTTTTAAGGATTTCTTGGCACAAACAATAGAATAAGTTTTGTAAGAGTTGTAATTTTCAAAAGTTTGTTTTATTATTTTTGTTACTAAAATAGTGCTTTGTGAACTCTGGGTCTCATTGCAATTATCTAAAAATTGAAACTATTGTAAAGAAATATAATTACAGTCAATTCTCAATATCGAGCATTTAACTTGTGTGACTTCAAGCATTCAGGTGATTTTATTAGTAACCTCATTTTCACTTTCACTTGTGGCAACCTCATACATTCATGGCTATATTCAGTGGAGAAAAAAATGAGAAGTGTAATGGGTGCAAGTTTATGCAGTAATTGGTATCCTATTGGCAACTTCACTGGTCTTGTTACACCCAGCATTTATAAAGAGCTTCCCATGCATTCATTGCTTATTTTCATTGTCAGCCTTTAAAACTTTAAAACTCAGTGGCAGCTGGGTGGTGCAGTGGATAGAGCACTGGCCCTGAAGTCAGGAGGACCTGAGTTCAAATCTGATCTCAGACCAACACTTAACACTTACTAGCTGTGTGACCCTGGGCAAGTCATTTAACCCCAATTGCCTTAAAAAAAAAATTAAAACTCAAGTTTTGTGTTGCAATTGTGCCTCCAAAGTATAGTGTGAGTCTTTAGAGCTCTAATATCATGACAAGACCTTATCTGTCTTGGCTTTTTCTGACAGCAGCAACTAAAGTCCCAGCTACCTCTCCTTTGGTTTTCAGAAGGTGGCCAAGGTAGAATGGTTTCTAGTAGTATAGTATATAATACAATCAACTCAAACTGCCATCTGACCCAGTGGAAGTAAAATTCAAGTTAGAAAATGTTTTAGTTTTAAGAATTTATTTGCTGTAGTGTATTTATGGTACTACATGTGTTATGAAAAGTGAATTTGGTCAATTTTTTTTAATTTAATGTATTTTATCTAAAAGATCAAAAAATGAAAAGCAAGAAAAAATGTTTTACATGTTGCCAATTTTATTTTTGTGTACTGCATTTTGTGAGTGTCATGGGTACTGTGTTAGAAAAGTGTTTATCAGAATGAATGTTTTGCAGTAAACAATTGTATGCAGAAAAGTGTATTTTCAGCAATGTGTACATAAAGATTACAGTTTTTTTTTCTGGGTGTGAGAACTTAACTCCCTGTTTCCCATAAGCTCCATGTTATCAACATTCACATTTTTGAAGTTCATGCTATTTTCTAGGAATGTTACCCTTGGGAAAGTTGAGGATTAAATGTAATTGAAAATTTGAGAGATGGTTTTAAAAATATTCAGCATTATGGGGAAAATGGGCTATAAATGTATTTAAAACTTTTTTTTAATATGTGTTTTAACGTGCTTTTGGGAAAAGAAGCAAAGGATCTGTAACATTGGGAAATGCAGTGAGCTGATCAAGTGTATAAGAGTGAAATAGATGTTGCACATTGCCCACTTTTTCAATGTATTGATCCATTCTGCTGATTTTTTTTTCTTCTCCTTTCTTTTTATTGTTTTGCCTTTAAAAAATGTTATTTGTTATATGTGATGGTTCTCTGGGAGAAAGAAGAGGAGACTCCTGGGAAAAAGCTATGATGATGTAAAAAACAGAAGACATCGATAAACACTTGTTCTGAAAAAAAATCTGAGAAGGGTTCTATAGGCTATCCCACACTTCCAAAGGTTTCTAGGATACAAAAAAGGGTTGAGAAACCCTGACCTAACAGAAAACATTGAGTGGAACTGCTATAGAGGATTTATGGTGAGGAGGAGAAGGTGAGAGTTGAGTTATGTAGGAGGTGGTTGAATTATATTCTGTACTAGTGGAAGTCAGTATTCCACATCAATGAAATCACAAATCCATTGAAATACTGAAATATTAAAACTCACATTTATATATTTTTTAATGGTTTATGAAGCCCTTTCCTTGTGGTAGTTGGGTGAAGCTTTTAGTGCAATTATTATTTTTTTTTTATTTTGCAAATGTGGTAACTGAGGCTCAGAGAGTTTAAATGACTAAATCATAGCCTTGCATCTAGTAGATGATGATGCAAATGTAAATCTTAGACCAACTCCTATGATCTTCCACAGATTACATTTACAGTAATAAATAAAGTGGGAAACTTACATCAAACTTACGTCATTCAGCATATCATCCAAACAATCAGCTAGAACTTACTCCTAACTTCTACTAAGTGACTAGATATATTATCTTATGGATATGAAAGCAACTGAAGAGATCTGATTTTGGAATGACCGCTTGAGGCATTTTGTAGCAAGGCTGAAGGAAAGAGCATGTTTGTGAATTTGTTGAAACATGCAATCTTCCCTCATGCCACATATTAAGTTTTGGTTTCTGTTTTGAAATGTAGAATGTATCAGTGGAGATACAGTATTTGCCAAATTTGTAAATTATTGATATAAACACATATTAGCTAAGGAAAAAGAAAGCACTGTCTAGCCATATATCCTAGGGGAATAGAAGCTCTGCATCCCATTTAGAAAGGTGAAATTCTACTCACCTCTAGTAAAGATACATCCATGTTGGGAAAATAATCTAGAGGTATTTTCTCAGGAGCAGATAAATCACTGGATTTGCCTTTTGCAGACTTTCAGAGATATCCAACATAAGTTATTGTTTTTCCTCGATGTGAAATAATTCACTAGTCTGCAAAGTGGAGGATTCTAACAGAACTTTAATGAATTAGCTTAACCTGAGGATAACCCAGAAGAGTTACCAAAGGCTGTGATCCAAAATTTTGGTAAGAGACCTCAATGGATTACAAGAACTTTTGATTTTCATGGACTTGGATATGCCTTTTTCACCAGCTCTTCTGATACAGAAATAAAGATGAAAGAGGAAAAGGGAAAGCTGAAGATTGCTTATTTTTCTTATTTGTTATTTTTGTTCAGTGTACATAGTCACATCAGAAAACAAGTCATTGGGGATGGGAATAAGTAAAGTTCATAATAAGCAAAATGACCATCTTTATGAGAATTGGAATAGGCTTTAAATTGGGCATTCCCACCTCAGTTTATTCTGCCAAGATGAACTTGATTTGGTAATATTTGTGGTTTCAGAAAATGGAGATGCTATAGAGGACTCTACAAACATTATTGTTTTTAAAATTAGACAATAACTCTTTCTTGTACAACCTAATACTGAGTAGCTATTGGAATGAATTACTGAGGCATTTGAATCATTTTCATCCTCATAGAAACAGCCTTAGAATACAAAGTACTGTCAATTATATCAGATCAAAACTCAGAGCAAATTATGAAGGCTTATATCAGTGACAAAAAATAGTTTCTAGTGAGTTATACTTCCTCCCCACCTTGAGAAGTACAACAAGTCCATACAGTCTCAAATGAAAAGTTAAGCAAAGAACCAGCCTTAATTGTTTTATTTACAAAAACCATCTTTCTTTCAGCTTCTTACCTGAGTACATCAGTGGAGATTTTGATTCTATTAGACCTGAAGTTAAAGAGTACTATGAAGTCAAGGTAAATTGGAAACCTTTTTTCTTTTAAAGAACTATCTTGATATGGAATACTTTTTTCCTTTGTCTTTTTTAATTTTATTTTATTTTATTTTGGGGGGGCTGTCTTCTAACTGAGAATTAGTTGGGAAATGATACATTTAACTTTGGGGAAAATAGAAAGAAGTTAAATGCAATTTTAATTCTCTTCCCGTGTCTCTATTCATCCATTCATTCGTTTCTTCATTACTTCTTATTTGTGTATTTATTTCTTCATTATTTAATTTATAAAACATATAGGATGATTGGTCTGACCAATGGTTTATTTGATTTTCTCTGTTTTATGCCTTGCCTTATGTTTGTGTTTAGAGAACCATTGGGCAGGGTTATTTCTATCGCATATGCTTTGAAAGAAATGTTAAATAATTTTGATGTGTGGGTGGAGAATACCTTGTTGGAAGGGAAAACAGAATTGATTATGTTTTTTCCTCAAACACTCTTCTTTCAGACTTCTTTTTTTTTGTTGTTGAAGATTTCTCTATTCTTCCACTCACCTAAGTTTGTACCCTTGTTGTTCTGCATTCTTCCTGCTTTTTCACTCCACAAATTCAGGCAACTGCCAAATTTTGCTGTTTCTGTCACCGCCATGTCTCTGACATCTGACCTTTTCTCTTTATTCACACATCCACCAGCTTAGTTCAGGCCTTCATCATGCTGTGCATAGATTACTGCAACACCCTCCTAACTAATCTCTCCCCACTGCAACACCCTCCTAATTGATCCCTCTACTTCAGATCTCTCCCCACTCCAATCTATCTTCTACATAACTGCCTTTGTGATTTTCCATAAGTGCAGATATGATCATGTCCCACTCATGAAACTCTAATTACACTCTATTGCCTGTAGGATAAAATATAAACTCTTTTGTTTGTATATGGATTTCTCTTCCCTACATGACCCGTCTCTTGGCTATCTTGCCAACCCTTTACCTCTTCACCTTCCTTTCGTTAAACCAGTCTTTTCTGTCAAGACACAGCTTAATCACCACCTTCTACACACAACTTTCCCTGATCACGGGAACTATTATTGTCCTCTTTCCTTGCATTCATTTTGTATTGTGGTTGTTCAGTTTTTTTCATTTGTGTCTAATTCTTTCTGACCCCATGTAGAGTTTTGTTGTGTGTTTTGTTTTGTTTTGGTTTTTTTGTTTGTTTTTTTTTTGGCAAAAACACTGGAATGGTTTGTTGTTTCATTTTACTGATGAGGAAACTGAGTCAAACAGGGTCAAGTGACTTGCCCAGAGTCACTCAGCTACTAAATGTCTGAGGCCAGATTTGAACTCGGCAAGATGAGGCTTCTTGACTTCAGGGCCAGCACTCTATGCACTACGCCACCTACCTGCCCTTTATCCTGTATATGCATGCATAAACATGTATACATATGTTGTGTCCAACATGCTACCATGAAAGTTCCTTGAATGTAAGGATTATTTCATTTTTGTGTTTGTATCCTGAGTGCCTAGTGCAATATTTACTGTATTATAGCCTCTTAATAGATGTTTATTTGTTAGTTGTTTTAACAGAGCCATTAATTTTATATTTTGCTTTACTGATCAAATGTCTTTGTTCATTATTAATAAAAAGGAAACAGTGAATAGATGAAAATGCATTTTTTGAGCACTTGCCAAGCAAGGTGCTTAGTGCTGAGATTACATTTCAAACAGAGAAACTATGGCTTGGAGGGCAGAACAGGACAAAAATTAACCAGTTAGCAGCAGCTGCAAGGTAGAAATAAAGAATTTTGAAAAAGGACATTAGTAAAAGATGCCATCAAGGAAATCTGTGATCTTGTATTCTCTACACTTTTCAGTGATGAAGATATTTGTTCACTAGAAAAGCTGCTTGTGAAAACCTCTCTCAATAATCCTTTCCCGGAAAATGCCCTTGATTCACGTATCCGTAAGTCTCATAGAGATTTTGTGTTGATCGAAATTATCCATTTAGGTTGGTAACTGTTGATGCTCTCCTGGTTCCCCTTTCTGGATATCTTCCATTAGTATCTTTGCCTATTTCTGATATTGTGAATTCATTCCTCAGTGTTCTCATAGTTGCATCGTTGTTTACCCCAGATCTCTTTGGACACTAGCATGAATCTTTATTCCTTTACCTTCTTTGTTTCCTTTTGTGCCATTTCTATCTTGCTGAAAAACATTATAAATTTATAACATGCAGTTAGATGGACAAACTATAAAGCTGGTTCATATGTATATGTGTGTACATATATACATATATATTTATATTTAGAGAAAGACACAGCTATATATGCACTATATACATACATACACATTATACATGCACATAAATGTATATACTGGGAGAGACAGCAAAAATGGACAAAAAAGCATTAAACAGAGTGAGGTGGATTGTCTTTACAAAAGTTCAAAAATCTCTGAATGACCCCAAACTCCTGAAAACTGAGCCCCATTGTAATTTTGTAATTGCTTTTAGTTGTTGTATAACCAAGAGACCTATATCACAGTGGAGTGGGCCCTATTGGGTGTGAGTACACCACATAATGTAACCAATGAAGAACTTTGAAAAAGGACATTAGTAAAAGATGTCATCAAGGAAATCTGTGATAGGAAGAGAAGATGGGGTAGTCACATGGTAAAGGCCAAAGATGACTTCAACTATTTATCAAAGAATGATAGTTATCAGCTGGAAGAGACGTTAGGTGCCGTAATCCAATGATTGAGATGAGGAGTTATCCCTAGGCAATTGAAATTCAACATATATAAAATAGAATTCATCTTTCCCAACAAACCCTCTTCTCTTCCCTACTTTACTGCTACTCTTGAGGGCAGTAGCATCTTCCTAGTCACCCAAATTTTCAGTCTCAGTGGGACCTTGACTCCTCACTTTCATTTACCTCTGGACACATAGCCAATCTTTTTCCAACTTTTGTAGTTTTATTTTCATAACATTTCTTGTATTTATTCCATTCTCTCCACTCACACAAATACCAATAATTGTAGCTCAGGACCCTATCACCTCTCATGAAATACTGCAATAGCCTATTAATTAGTATTCCTGCCTAAGTGAGTTCTACCCATTTCAATACCAGACTGAATGTTTAATTCTAAATGTTTTGACCCAACTACCTGATGAATCCAGTGAGTCCCTGTTAACCCTAGGATTAAATAGAATTGACCCTCTTTAGCATTAAAAACTCCTCATAATCTATCCACTTCCTAATCTTTCTAGTCAACTTGCTTTTCCTCAGAAAAACATTCCATGCCTCCATGGTTGTGGATTGGCTGTCCCCCATGCCTCAAATACTTTCCCTCTCCACCCCTATCTTTTAGCTTCCTTGGCCTCCTTCAAGACTCACTTCAAGTTTGACCTTCTTCAGGAGGTCTTTCCCTTCTGCTGGAAGATTTCCTCCCACTAGTCTGTCTCTATATTTAGTTATTTGCATATTGTCTCTCCCATTACAATGAGCGTTTCTTGAAACTGCATGTACCTTCGTATCTCCATTGCTTAGCACTGTATCTGGTAAATAACAGACATGTAATAAAATAGTAAGCACTTAATCAGTGTATTCTGCCTAGACTACTTCCCTCATTCCTCACCTTCATTGTTATTTCTAGCACCTTGTATCTATCTAGGCAACATGACACCCTTCTTACGATCTTACCATGGTGAGTCTATGATAACCAGACTCAAATTTTGCAAGTTTCAGCTCTCATGAGCCTCAGACCCTTGATGTCTTTGATAGAAACTCAGGCAAAATAGTGTGTTAACTTTAACACCCAAACTCTTCTGGTATCATCCTGCTAAATAAGTTTGACTAATTGACTTCCAAGACAGAGATAGGATTTGAACTCATGTCCTCTGTATCCACATCTAGCATTATTTTCCCCACATCTACCATAAATTCCTGCCCTGTTTTTCTGCTTCCTTTTCATGGGCTGGTGCTACGTAAGTCACACTTCATTTTGGACATTGTAAGTATTCATTTCCTAAATTTGTTAGAATTAAAATTGGCTTTTTCCTAGGGATTGTGATCCTTGGTTATAGAGTTTAGACTTTAATATTCATATGAACCTGAGAACCCAGACTATCTCTTCACTGTGACTCAAAAGCAGTCATTAGTCCCAATTCCCTGAAATACTCATTTCATCCATGATGCTTTGCAGAATTCCCCTTAATCCCTGGCCTTAGTGTTTTCCTGTCCATGGTGCAGTAAGGAATGCAAGTCATAGCATAAAAGGGTATTTATACTATTTAGCCTTCAGTGTTTCCCTGGCATACGAGGCCAAGACAAAACCAAAGCAGTAATCATTTCAACTTCACCTCATCTGTGTTTCTGTGAAAATGCATTTCCTTCTTTTCGCTATGCACAGAAATGGTTGTGGTGATCTTGCTCTGTTCATTTAAAAAAAAATGTGTCTTGGAAATCACTAAAGTCTTATTCTTTCCTTAGAGTGGCGGAATGGGGAATGGATAAAGGAAAAATATGATTAAGGTTGAAAGAAGATGTAGGAAGGAAAGGGGAGAATAGTTGTTTGTTTTTAAATGGAAGAGAAGGGAAAAGATTACATTTGGGAAACCAGAGGAACTATTGTTGTGAAGCCGAGATTGCTGTGATGTGGCAGTTCTGGGGATAGCTGTGAAGCCTGTTCTACATGTATTCCATCTGCTCACCAGCTGATCTGGCTTTCCATCAGCAGAGGAAGAGTGTTCCCCTGTCAGTGTTTGATATTCATGCTCAATTACATTAACATTGGCATGTTCCTACTCATTCCCCACAGTCTCACTTCTCATTAACTCTATGCCTCAGCCTCCTTTGGATGGAAAGCCCTCAGCTTTGCTTACGAGGCAAAGTTTTACTAATACATAGTTATTAATCATGCATTCACAATGAGAGAAAATAGCAGAAGAAGGTGGGGGTGGGGCATGCAGCAACTTGGGAGAAAGTTGCAGATCTTTTTAAGTCTTGACTCATCTGTCGCTATCTTCTAAA